CATCCCCTCGGCAATCATCATCGATCATGACCCACAGTTCATGTCCAACTTCTGGACAAAAACCTGGCAGCAGTATGGCACACGTCTGCATCTGTCCACGGCGTATCACCCACAATCGGACGGCTAGACTGAGCGCACCACTCAAACGATGGAGCAGCTGATTCGCACGACGTGCACAGACCCGGCCCAATGGGAAGACGCCCTTCCCTTGATCGAGTTTGCGTACAACAATGCCCCATCGGCCACGACTACGCAATCCCCGTTCTTCCTTAATTACGGGATAGATCCGACAACCCCTCTATCGCCCCCGATAGAAAATCCGGCAACCAGGTCGCAGAAGTTCGTCGAAAATCTCTGGCAGTCTCAGCAAAAAGCCGCCGATGCCATCCTCAAAGCCAATCAGAGGGCTAAGAAGCAAGCTGACCGACGACGCCGAGACTTTACGCTTGCCCCCGGGCAATTGGTCCTGCTCGACACCAGAAATTTGGGAATTCCCCTCCCAAATAAATAACGACCAAGATTTTGCGGCCCATTCCGCATCATTCGCATGGTGAGACCAGTCACTGCCCAGCTGCAACTGCCGGCCGACCGGCGAATTCATGATTCATTCCACGTCAGTCTCCTGTGACCGTTTGTCCCGAGTACGACTAATCTCGACACATCAATCCTACGGTCAACCCAGTACCCGAGCAGACGATCGAGCCATCCAAGCTTCTCGCTCATCGCGCATGAGGCCATCGAGATACAGCAGCCGTTGATTTCCTTGTACGATGGGTCGATCGCACGACTGATGACGATCTTTGGGTCCCCGCGGCTATGCTCGGCGGACACAAAGTCGTCCGGGACTACTTACACCGAAAACGTGTCCCAGATGTGGGTAGTCTCATCCCGGAAGGGGGGGTGGTGTAAGGAAAATCCATTTTCCTTACTAGGCTCGACTACAGCGAGTACGCCCTCGACTCTCGGAAATCGAGGCTTGGCCAACTTCTTCGGTCCCGAACCATTTCACGAACCCAAACCTAGACGTGCAGCGCTTCCGTGGCTTTCGCCAACCGAACCGTCCCAACGTGTTCGCGTGGTTCTCGGCTAGCTCTGTTGGTGCCTATAAATGCCTAGGCCCTCATTTGTATCGACACTCTTGAATCACGACTCCTTTATTTCACTACCTGTTATTATTCTGATAAATTCATAACAGTTCCTGTACCGTAATCACCCGGATAGACGCCCCTCGGGGCATTTACGAGACTGGTTTGAAAACGTGGGGGGCATTAAATTGAATAAAAAAATATGCGCCCATGGGCGTTTTAAAGGGATTATATGGAAATTTTAAAATTGCCATTAAAACGTAGCTACTTGTCAGACTTGTGCTGGGAGATTAATTTTTGCCAGGCTTCATGATTCAATCACAATGGAAGTCCAGTCGGCAAGTTGCCAGGCTGGAAACACACCGTTCTGACACAAATCGTGCTGGCGCGAAGTGTCAGAGAGGGTGAGTTCCGCTTCTAGCGGGCATGAAGCGAGAAACCTCAGTATTACCTGGATCCGCTTCGACTTTTTGCGCAGTATTTCAAGACAAATTACGCAGGGACTTATAGGAAACAGGCTTAGAGAAATTATGGGGGGCCTGTAATCGAATAATGCTTATAAGTCCCAATGCACGAGTTAGAGCCCATGGGACTAGTCCTACAGAGGGGCGTCTATCCGGATGATTACGGTAACTCCACTAGCTCATAATCAGGGCTTCATAAGTCAGGACAAAATGCCCTGAAATGCTGTATATCAGGGTGTTTTTTTAGGGTCGTCCTGTTTTTTCAGCTTTTGATTTTCCCTTGGCCTGAATTTTAGGGGTTCTCATTTGAGCAGGCCTGAATTTTAGTATGTTCTTGTTTTGGTCACCCTGAATTATCAGCCTTAACGGATTTTCAGCCTGAAACAGAGTCTTTTCGGTACCCCCCCCCGACAATCGCGGCTGGAATGGGGTGTGTTATGGAGCACGTGTGAGGGGCGTGATTGATCCTTAACCAAAAACACATCCCTCGTTAAAGAGCACGTGAGAGGAGGCTGGTGATTGGTCCTTAGTCAAAATTACAAGCAGCTTCGTGGAGCAGAGGGTGTGCTGGAACAGCTGTTAGGAGCAGGTTTGGTCTAGGGCGAAGTCAGGGGTTTACCAACCAATCGGGGGTCGTGTCGTGTTACTACTGAGCACCCGCTACCTGCCAGGCCGACGACGATGCACCCATCTTTCGATCAAGCTGGCATGCACGCTGCCACACCGTATCGCGTGGTGCGTGCGACCACCACTCAACCCCTCGTCGTCCCAGTCGAGCATGCTCCTTCTAGTACATCGCTTTCTTGCGGTGCGGGCAAACGTAGCAAAAGGCTTGTAGCTCACTCAGTTTTTTCGCTCCACCTTTGCTAGCTGCTCTGTGTCGACTCTCTGCACCACCTGCTCGACTGTCTCTCACTCACCATCTCATGCCATGAGCGACGAAGAGGGATGTTCTTGTGCGTCCTGCAAGGAAGGGCGCCGTGTGGAGTGTCGCCGATACTCGTATCGACCCTTTCCCTCCCCTGCCTAGCAGTCCGCAGCGTAGATCTGCTGTTGCGTCTACTACGCCTCAGAGCCCCGCGATTAACACTGGCCGCGCGTCACCTGTCGTGCACAGTCCTGCACGCGAGTCTGCGCGCTCTTCTCCTCGCATATACAGCCCGCCAGTGGTGGCTTCAGTCTCCTCTCCGTGCATTTGCATCCCTTCTGCCGAGGCTACACGTGGGTTCATGCTTGTGCGCAGCCCTGCGCGTGATGATGCTGGCTCGTCGTCGTTGCCCCGCTCTCCGGCTCACGACGCTCCGCAATTCTCCCCGATCCCACGCAGCCCGTACGGTGATGCTGGCCGTGTGTCGCCCCACCCTCGCAGCCCAGAAGGCGACGCAGGGCAGGCGGTCGGAGCGGCCGGTGATGGCGGTAGTGGAGCAGATCGCGGTGCGCCTAATTCTCCCCCGAAACGAGCGTACCGTCAAGCGTTGCTGTCGTTTCGGCTTCCGACGACTGTCGACAAACATCCTGCCGCCATCACGTTCGCCACAGCTCGTGCCACCGTTCAATCACGGAGGCACAAGCCGTCACGTGCTCCACTGGTGGATGCAGCCTCTCCGGCAACGACAACACGACATGCCGAGAAGTCGGCAGGCGGTGCTGCGTCAACTACGCCAACGAGTGCGACTCCAGTGGCCGGCACTTCTACTGCGACACCACTGGAGTCACGCATCCAATCGTCAGCCACCGCTGATGAGGAATTTGGAGAGGTTGCTGACTTGTTGTATCTCCAAGCTCTGCAAAATTTCAAGTCAGACTGGCAAGAGCGGTTTCCTTGGTTGCTCCTATGTCGTACTAAAAATGGCCTTCCATCCCTGCGATATAGTGTGTGTACAGATCATGGCGTCCTGGGCACCAAATATGGTCGAGATGGGGAGGGCGCAGTTGACGTGAGGCAATGAAGAGGCATGGCCGGTCAACACGGTACAAGGCATGCATCAAGGCGAAGAGGAAGGCCATGGAAGACGCTCAGAAGCAGAAGAAGATATCAGACTTCCCACAGGCCCAAGATCTCGAGAAGGGACGACTCATCGCGCTGCTGTGGGTCCTGCATTTCATCTGCCAGTGCGATGCGCCGATCAACACTTGGGTGAAGCTCGTCCGCTTCCTAGCGAAGCGGAAGTGCCCCGGCTTTCCAAAAAAGAGCTACGGAAACTACTACACCTCGTGAGTTTAGGACATGAATGCTTTTGCCCACTCCTCACTTATGCCTACAATTGCCTTGTCTCACGTGGTGAGCTCTACACCCCATGCAGGTACGGCTTCGCGCAACTGATGCAGTCTCTGTCAAACTGGCTTCATGCTTCTCAGCTACGCCACATTCACGCGAGTCCCTTCATTGGGCTGAGTTGCGACGATTCGACTGACCGCACTCGAGGGAAACACTTGATTCTGTTTGTAACATTTCTGCGTGATGGGCATGTTGTGACTGAGTTCAATGCCTTGCTAACACTGGAACAGTGCGACGCAGCATCTATTCATGCTCTCATTCAGGAACATCTAGCCAAGTTTGGCGTGCACCCCGACAAGATTGCCGGCATCAGCACGGATGGGGCTGCTATCATGATGGGCTCCAACACCGGCCTCGTCACTCGCATGTGTGCCATGTCACCGTGGCTGGTGTCCTGCCACTGCATAGCTCACAGGTGAGCCACGGTGCATGTGTTTGCCTCTCACTTCCCGTTACCCGACCATGACTTCTGACGACTCTGGTGTCTGTACTCGCTGTGCCTCTCCAGCTACTGTTTGATCACAACGCTGATGCTTCTGCTGTTTCTGCTGTGTACGCAGGGAGGCCCTCGCTGCGAAGGATGCTGCAACCACCGTTCCAGAGCTAGCAGTGGTTGACAAGCTCATCCGGACCGTTGCTGAGTTGCTGGGTCGCTCTGGAAACTGGCATGCACACTTCAAAAACCTCCAAGACGTCTTCACCCAGACGAACCTCGAGATGCAGGGTATTTTCAATATACGCTGGCTATCTCGAGGTGAGGCGATCGCCCGCCTCGTTGACGTGCTACCAGCTGTGGTCATTCTACTTCTTGAGTATGACCAGGAGATGTACAACATCGTAAAAAGCTACAAGTTTCACCTTTTCCTCTACTTTCTGGCTGACATGCTTGGCTTACTGAACAGCCTCAACAAAAAATTCCAAGCCCGCCAGGTTGGTTTCTTGCATGGTCCTATTATGTTTGTCTAATCGTGTATCTCCCTGAGCTATCTGCCCAAGCCCTCTCCTACCACAGGTCAAGTTGACGGTCGTCCAGGGCCTTATTCGGAGGACCGTCGTCTACATCAAGCAGCGGTGCATCGAGTGCGGCAGCACCTTCGGGGGTGGCAACCCGCCGCTCCTCACTGCATTCATCGAAGCGCACCGCACCAGCCGCCCCGTCACCATTGAGGGATGCAAGTCCGACGGCACATCAATCGTGCACAAGTTTGACATGCACGACGAGCGCCCTGGCGAGGACCACGACGAGTGTAGCAGCATCTGCATGAGATTCGTCAAGGCGACCGAGCAGAACATTGTTGAGCGGCTGGGCGACTTGGAGAAGCTCAACGGGTGCAGGCTCTTCACCCCGGAAGCATGGCCGCCAGGGAGGAAGGAGCGGAACAGCCAGTGCATGGACTGGCTGCAGAGCTTGTTCGACCTCTTCCGCGCAGCCGGGCGTCGGGAGGTTCTGCCAGGTAAGCCGTTGCTAACCGTGCATGAACCCAGCTGTAACCATGCATCATGCCTGCGTGTCATCCTTATCCCCATACTAACGGCCTGCATCTATACCATGCATTCTCCTCCCCTTGCGCCCTCTGATTCTGTGCAGGTGTTAACAAGAGGGCGGCAACCAGGGAGCTGCAGACTCTCATCTCCCTACTAAAAGATGCTCCCGTGGGGGAGCAGAAGTTCTACGAGGGGCTGGCGGCGATGCTGAAGTCGGATGACTGGACAAAAGCCTTCCCGAACCTGGGCCGCTTGTGGGTCGCGGTCGCAGTGCTACCACTGTCTATGGTGGAGTGTGAGCGCGGCTTCAGTCGGCAGAACATCATCAAGAGCTGGTGCCGAGGCAGCCTAGGAAACGCCACGCACGAAAGCCTCATGAGCATCGCGTTGCTCGACAACGAGCCTGATTGGGAGGAGGTGGTGAAGGTTTTTCGAGGGAAGAAGCGGAAGCAGTTCTCCACCCGCATCCACCCCCGAGGTCGGGTGAAGAGCTTGAAGGGGAAAGAAAAGGTGGTGGAGGGGCCAGGGGAGGAGTTGGATGAGGGGCCAGAGGAGGAGGTGGAAGATGAGCTGGAGGAGGGGAACAAGGAGGGGAGAGGAGGGGGGGTTGGTGGAGCAGAGGTCGATGAGGATTTCTGGTATGCATCAGAGGGTGAGGAGGAGTGCAACAGCGGCGGAAGTGAGTCAGACGAAGACGAGGAGTAGCAGGTGGACCAGCAGCAGCAGCAGCAGCAGCAGCAGCAGCAGCAGCAGCAGCAGCAGCAGCAGCAGCAGCAGCAGCAGCAGCAGCAGCAGCAGCAGCAGCAGCAGCAGCAGCAGCAGCAGCAGCAGCAGCAGCAGCAGCAGCAGCAGCAGCAGCAGCAGCAGCAACAGCAGCAGCAGGAGCAGCGTCAGCTGCAACAACACCAACACCGGCAGCAGCAGCGGCAGCACATGGAGCAGTTGGGTGCAGCAGAAAGAGCAGTAAGAGTTCTAGCAGCAAGAGTGGCTGGCAGCATCAGTAGTAGTAGTATGGGCCAGTAAGTCAACACAAAAGGCAGCAGCAGCAGCACCATAGGCTGTGCTTTTCTAAAATTGTTAAACTACCAAGTGTATACCATGAAAACATTGAAAAAAACAAGTCAACGTTCAGTCTAACACATTGTGCTAGGTCAAAAGCAAACCCACCCAAAAAAAAATGCAGAAGTTCAACACTAACATGTCAGGCCTGTAAATCTTTAGTCCTGAACTTTCAGCCTTCGAAAAAATTTACCCTGAAAAAATATGCATCTTTTAAAACCAGACCCTGAAAAATGGGGATTCCTGCTGGGGGCACCCTGAGCCAACAGCCCCTCAAAATCCAATCTGAAGCCTTGCTCATAATACCATCTAGAAGTGAACCACTTGTTTAGGGTGTCCAGGGTCTATAGTTGGTGGGACCACGAGTAAAATACAGCGGAAGACTTAACGCCTTGTATTGGAAATGTCCGAAATGACAAGGATAATAATAATGAATGATACAGGCATATTTATAGTCTAGGGAGTACATATTCAGAATGTACCTGTTCGTAGTGTAACGCGACTATTCGCGTGACATGACTAGTGATTGTTCATGTGACTGAGAGTGGCGTGACCCTTCGGGTGACTATACGCGCGAACAAACTGTTAATTCGTTGACTCGCTACTGCTGACGTCATTACGGGCGGTCTTCAATATGAGGCATCGCGCTACTACTACAGTCAAAATTTTATACCAGGAATGCATAAGTATACTCTGTCAAATATACTTCAACATCAACAGGGTTCAATAATAATTTTAACTTTTCATCATGGTCGGTACCGTAATCATCTGCATAGACGCCCCCAGGGGCGTTTTTAGGACTGGTTTAAAAACGTGGGGGGTCTGTTTATTTGAATAACAAAAATTATGCCCATGGGCGTTTAAAAATGTAAATAGCCAAATTGATATTTCTACATCAGATGGTAGCTTTTGCTTTGCTTCATGCAATGGGATCACTTTTGACGAAAATTCACACATCCATCGTGCTGAAAGTCCAGTCGGCAATGTGCCAAGGTGGAAACAGGCTACTTTGACGTGAATCTTACTAGCGCGAATAGCCGTAGGGCGCAAATTGCGCACAGGGTGAGGATTCTCGCTATTATCCGAATTCGTTCCGTCGTTTTTGTACAGTGTTTTACAAAATAAAAGCGGGGCCTATAGGGTACGAACTTTCTAAAAATAGGGGGGGCGTTTAATAGAATAACAGCTATATGTGTCAACATATTATATATATATATGTATATGTATAGACTAGGTAGGTGTACTGCATATCCTAGATTCTACTGTAAAGGGTACAACCCCCTTCTTGTATCCCTCTCTCTTCTAGTCCAACCTCTCTTCACTCTCGACATTTTCTCCTAGCCTAAAACCTCTCGCCACTTTCCTAAGCCTAGCTCCTAACCTAGCTCCTTGAGATGGTACCAGCGCAGGCCCTTCCGCTCGGGCCTTCTCCTCATGCTTCCGCAATGTTCGGTCCTCCCTCCTGTCCTTTCCGTGCAACCGCCACTGCCATGTCGTGCTGCCGTGACAGCGTCGTCGTGCTGCCGTGGCGGCGTCGACGCGCCAGCGCACGGACAGCAGCGGCCAGCGCCCGGTCTTAGCGCTGGCCAGCACGCCTGCATGCAGCCAGCGCGCCACACGGGACGGCACACTCCCTGGCACGTGCCACGCGGGGTGCCTGAGGGCAGAGCGAAGCACATCCAGCTGCGGCACTTTCTCCTACGCGAGCTGTAGCAAAGCCGCCAGGCTCGCGTAGTTCACTTGGCCTTCGGTGCCAATACAGCTGACATCTGTACTAGGGCGCTTACTCCTAAAGATCATCAGCGGCACTGTGTATAGCTAGGTCTAGTTCCTGTAGCTTCACACTTGCTAAGGCCTTGATTGTGTACTACTCTTATTATATTCTCCCGACTGGCCTTGTGGCCTCTACTCCAGTGGCAGGACTAGTAGTGCCGCCCTGGTTTGTTCTTGTTTTGTTTGTACTCTCCTGACTAGTCTTCAGACCCTTGCCTCAGAGGTTGGACTAGTAGTGCCACCCTGAGTTGCGTGTCTCTAGCCCGGCACTACCCCTTGTCTAACCTAGGGGGTGTGTCAAACATATATGCAATATGTTAGTATAGGCTAGTTAGGTGTATGGCTTTAGAGAGTACTGGTAAGATAACTAGGTAAGGAGAGGAGCCATGGAAATGGCATGAGGGTTTAGGAGCTAGGAAAAAATTACGAGAGGAAAGAGAGTTGGACTAGAAGAGAACGAGATACAAGAAGGAGGGGTTGTCCCCTCTACAGTAGGATTCAGGAATATAGCAAACCTACCAAGCTTAAATTATATATATATATTATATACTCTAATTTAACACACCCCCTAGGCTTGGTAGCCGAAAGCACACCACACACGCAGCACCCCCAAAACCCTTGCACCCCCATGCCCTGCAGCAGCGGTCGACCTCACCACGTGCGAGGCGGTAACGTCAGCGGCGGGGGCAGCGGTGGCGGCGACGGTGGCGGCGGCGTCGACGACAGTACGACGATAGTGGCGGCTCTGTCAGCGGGTGGCGGCGGAGCCAGCGGCACCTGCGGCATCGGCGGCAGCTTCGACGGCGGCGGCGGCAGTGACGGAGACCGCGGCTCCTGACGACATGGCCTGGCTCCGCAACGACGGGGCCGCAAGGGGCGAGACAGCCATCGGATGCGGCGGGGAGAAACGGAAATGCAGAGGAGGGGGGGCGAAGCTGCAGCGAGGCGCCATGGCGGCGCGGCGCTGGCTGACGTGCAGGCGAACTGGCTGGCGCTAAAACATTGCGCGGCCAGCTGCCGCCTGTCGACGACGCCACGGAAGCTCGACGACGCCACCACGGCGCGACGTCGCTGCCGCGGAAGCACGTCGACGCTGCCACAGCAACACGGCGAAGCCGCCACTGCGTGGCGTCGACGCCACGGCAGCGTATCGAGGCTGCCACGGCAGCACCACGAAGCCGCCATGGCAGCACGACATGGCTGCCACGGCAGCGTGGAAATGAGGAGAGGACGCTGCGGAAGCGTGAGGAGAAGGCCCGAGCGGAAGGGCTTGCTCTGAAACCAAGTTAAGATAGCTAGGTACGGAGAGGAGCCATGGAAATGGCGTGAGGGTTTAGGTGCTAGGAGAAAGTTACGAGAGGAAAGAGAGTTGGACTAGAAGAGAACGAGATACAAGACGGGGGGGGGGGTTGTCCCCTTTGCAGTAGGATTCAAGAATGTAGCAAACCTAGCAAGCCTACAAATATATATATATATATATATATGTATATAATATATATAATTTAACTAGTACAACCCACTAGGTAGAAGTACTCTGTACTGCTGTTTCTAGCAACCTCGCTACAATGAGAATAAGGCCCAAAGCACGAGATAAAGCCCATGGGATTTATCCTACGGAGGGGCGTCTATCCGTATGAGTACGGTACAAGCAAACACCCTGAAAAAAAAAAATGTAAAAGGCATAAAATCCTGATATCGTGGGGCCTGCCTCCAGGCTATGTACGGTAACAGTTCTACTTAGTGCTGGCAAGGTTGTTGTGAGCTGTGAGGATTCTTCCTTGTTTAGTTCAGGATGCTCATATCAAGGCGTGGAATATCATGTTGAAGTGAACCATGCGTTTAGGGTGGCCAGAATCTAGAGTTGGTGAAACCACGAGTAACAGTCAGAGGAAGACTTTACACCTTGTATTGGAAATGTCCGAAATGACAAGGAAAATAAGAATGAGTAATACAAGCATATTTATAGTCTAGGAAGTACCTATTCGGAATGTACTTGTTCGAGTGTGTCGCGACTATTCGCATGACATGGCTAGTGACTGTTCGTGTGACTGAGTGGCATGACTCTTCGGATGACTATACACGCGAGCCTACTATTCATGCGTTGACTCGCTGCTGCTGACATCATCACGCGCACCTTCTATATCACGCGCACCTTCTATATGAGGTATCGCGCTACTAGTGCAGTCTAGGTATAATATCAGGAATGCATAAATGGTAACTCTACCGAGTATACTTCTCAAATACAAGTGGGGCTTGCCTTCATGCGATGTACAGTAATAGTTATACTTAGTGCTGGCAAGGTTGTTGTGAGCTGTGAGGATTCTTCCCTGTTTAGTTCAGGATGCTTGTGTCAAGGCATGGAAGACTAGGAGGAGACTACTGCAGCGAATTCACGTCGAGAGCAAAAAGAATTGGCAATGGCAACCCTGTGTTAAAATAGCTAGGAACTAGGCATAGGACTAGCGAGAGGCTTAGGTAGGGTAGGAGAAAGTTGACGAGAGGAAAGAGGGGTGGACTAGAAGAGAACGAGATACAAGAAGGGGGGGGGGTATCCCCTCTACAGTAGGATTCAATATTGTAGCACATCTACCAAGCCCAAACAAATAAATATATAATTTGACACACCCCCTAGGCTTGGTAGTCGAAAGCACACAGCACACGCAGCACCCCCAAAACCCTTGCACCCCCATGCCCTGCAGCAGCGGTGGCTTCGTCAGCCCGGTCGACCTCTCGATGTGCGAGGCGGCGACGTCAGCGGCGGGGGCAGCGGCGGCGGCGGCATCGACGACGGTACGACGACAGCAGCGGCTGTGACGGCGGATGGCGGCGGAGCCAGCGGCATCTGCGGCATCGGCGGTGGCTTCAACGGCAGCGGCGGCGGCGACGGAGACCGCGACACCAAGCGACGTGGCCCGGCTCCGCAACGACGGGGCCGCACGGGGCGAGACAGCCATCGGCTGCGGCGGGGAGAAAGGGAAATGCAGAGGAGGGGGGGCGAAGCTGCAGCGAGCAGGCCTCAGGATATTAGGGTAAAATACCCTTACGGCCCTTATAAAAAGGGTGGGGTGGGTGTTGGACCCTAAATTTTAAAAGCGGTTTAGTTTTTGACCCATGTGAAAAAAACTAGATCTATACGGGACCCTGCTTTTTCAGAG